ACACTTTAAGAAGGGACGATGGTGTGACTTTAAGAGGCGTATTTTGCCCTGGGCCCTTTCTTTCTTCTCAAGAGAGGTTTTAACACAGAGGTGATGACCTGTCTAGTGAGAACGCCAGTAAGGCCCTGGGTTTTATTTTAATTTTAAAGTGTTGGAACAATAGAAGCAGCCTGGCTGGGTGTGACCAGCTCTCAAAGACCAGGATTTCTCATTTTTAGGTTGAACTTTAAGTGGCTCAGAAACTGCTGGAGTTCTGATGAAGTGGAAGCTATCATTTCCCCCTTTCTCTGTTACAGCCACAAGCTGGGTGTCGCTCTCTGCTGTTAGGCTATCCCCAAAACAAATCTATTTTACTGAATTTGTCTTTCTTTGCTGAGGGGTGTGTTTGTGGGATGTTGCTGCATTGGAACAGCTCATTAGCAATAGGTTCTGAAGAAGGGTCACCGGACCCGAAACGTTAACTCTGTTTTCTCTCCTTCATAGATGCTGCCAGACCTGCTGAGCCCTTGTGTTTTTGTTCCCGATTTACAGCATCCTTTTGGTTTTCATTAGTAATGGGTTCTGTGTCTAGTATTCGGATCGGTTTTCCAACAGAGTTACATTCTCCTTTCTTCTGTTGCATTTTAACCATAGCGTTTAAATCGTTTGTGTTTTGCCTAATATTGACTAGTGTGATCAATCACATTGCAGCTGGAACTTCACATCTACTTCTAAAATACGAAAACGTTAGGGCATGGACTACCTTCTTAAAATATTTTTGAGGGAGTCTGGTCTGGTAAATGACAAATTGTAAAGTTGTAACTTCATTTCTTATATTTTTCGGCTACGTATCTCGGATTTTGAACCGAGGTATCTTTGTAACTAAGATGGGGACATGATTAGTGACTATGTACACCTTTCACTGTACTCCTGTATCCCTATACTTGAGTATGTACGACAATAGAACTTAGTTTCTAATTCGAATTCTGTTGCTTCTCTATCAGAGTTTTGTGGTTTAATTTTGAGAAGATCATTGGGAGATTAGAACCGCGATACGAGGAAGTAGAAGCTGCATCTCGATATCACGACCTCCAGGAAACATTGTAAAGCTGACCCATCGATGTCTGTACGCACTCTGCAGAGCAGAGGGAGGAGAGGAACTGTTCCACAGAAAGTGGAATCGTTATCCTCAAAGCTTAGGGAGGAGAGAGAGAGAGAGAGAGACAGTGAGAGTTTGAATGAAGTGACAGGGAGGGTCAGATCGAACAGAATCAATCGACAAACTGGGGACAGAGATGAAGGGAAATTGTTTCGAAACGCAGAGACAGAAAGGGGAACTCGAGGAAAAATAAAACCAAGCGAAAAGAGAACTTTGGAAGGCCATGGGGAAAGATCTGCCTTGTACTAACAGTGGGCTTGAAGGCACAGAATTGGGACATGGCTGTGGAACGGAGCGTGGAGGGATGAAAGCCATGAGGGGAGTGAACGGGAACAGTTGTAACGTTGGACACGAGGAACACCAAATTGTAAATTCCATGAAAAATTAAAAAGGCTAATGCAGCTGAACTCCCTGCTGAGTGATCTATTCAGTCTCTTCATAATGAGGAAAGCTTTACCTTTCACAGACTCTGACAGTGTAGGATCAGGCCATTTAGCCCATCAAGACCACGCAGACCCTCTAAAGTGCATCCTACCCAGCTTATCTGTCCCTGTAATCCTGCACTTCCCATGGCCAACCCACCCTAACCTGCACATCCCTGGGCACTATGGGACAATTTAGCACGGCCAATCCACCCTAACCTGCACATCCCTGGG